GATATTAGCTTTCTAAATATAAAAAAATTCTTAAAAAATAATAAGAATTAACTAAGTTATAGTTATTTAAAATTAAAATTAAAAGAATTCTTTCTTACCTCTTTTAAAAAGAAGTTTAACTATAAAAGTTAAAACTTCTTTTATATATTTTATATTTATAAAGCTTCTAAGCTTTTATAAAGTTTTAGTTATATATAACTTAGATCTTCTACTTATCTAGATAGCTCTCTAAATAAAAATAGTAATATTATAGACTATAACTTAGTTAGTAAGCTAGCTAAAAATAATTTAAAAAACTTAAAAAATACTAAATTTTCTAAAAAATAATTTAACTTATTTAGAATTTTTTTAAATATACTAGTATTAGTTATAAAAACTTATTTAGACTTAGTCTTTTAAATTCTTCTCTTTCTAATATATTCTTACTTAGTACTATACTTACGCTATATAAAAAACTTATTTAAAAATATAACTTTATTAAAGTTTATATTTTTAATATTTTTAATAGTTTTTTTAGTATATTTTTTTTTAAATAAAGCCTTTTCTTTATTTAAAAGCTACTTTTTCTTAGTAGTAAAAATAAAGTATTTCTCTACTCTTAATAAATATTATAAAGATTTAGTAAAGAAGTTTAAATTATTTTCTTCTAAAATATATTAATTTATTTTTTTAAAACTATATTCTAGGTCTTTATTAACTACTTTAGTAGCTTTTTTAGAAATTTTTAAAAGCTAGCCTAGTTTAGACTTAAAAAGAGTAGTAAAAGTATTTTTTTTTCTTTTAATATATTATAAAGTATTTATAATAGACTTAGAAGACTTTTATAGTATAGTACTAATAGTACTAGTAGATAGTTATTATAAAAATAGAGTGTAAACTTTTTTTATAAATTTTAAAAGTTTTGCTAATATAAAGAGAATATAGAGAAAAGAAAATTTAAACTTAAAAAGAGAAAAATATATAAAGTAAGACTAAAAGAAGCTTATATAATTTTAGTACTTCTTTTTAGTATACTTTTTTTTCTTTTAATTTTTTAAAATTATTTAGATAAAAAACTATAGTTAAAATTCTACTTATATAAGTATTATATAAGCTAGTATTATATAATTTTTTTTTAGAACTTTTTACACGCTAGTTAAAAAGATATAGCTATATTAAACTAGGCTTTTTTTTTACTCTATATTTAATATTACTTTTTTTCTTATTACTACTTACTAAGTAAAATCTTAGATAAGCTAACTTAAAGAAAAAGTTTTTAGCTTTCTAAAATACTAAAAATTTTAGTTCTAGCTAGTTTAGTTATTTAGATTTATTAGTAAACTAATAATTCTATAGCTTATAAACTAATTCTAAAAAAGTAAAATCTATTACTAGTATACTAAAGAATATATAACTAAAGATTTTAGTACTCTAAAAGTAAATAGGCTAAGACTTAAAGCTTTAGCGCTACTATCTTTAAAGTAGTTAAAGCTTCTAAATTTAGGCTAGCTATAAAGCTATTCTAATACTAAAGTACTTTATAAAAGAATTTTAATTCTAAATACTTTAAAAAAATTATAATATAATTATATACGCTTATTAGCTTATAACTAATAAAGTAATATATTCTAAATATTTATAGTTAAAATATATATACTAAAATCTTAGTAAAAGCGCGCTTTTTCTATTCTTTATACTTTTATAATAATAATATTTAAAATTTTAAAGATTAAAAATGTAAGTAGCTTATATTTAATACTAAATACTATATTACTTTATTAATACGCACTTCTAAATAATTTATAAGTTTTCTAAATAATTATAAGTAGAAAACTAATCTCTTACTAGTTATATTATTTTATAAAAAGCTCTACTAAGTTACTTTATTATTACTATATTAATTACTTTTTATATAACTATATTACTATTACTAACTAAAGTTACTATAGACTACTCTATATTTACTAGAAGAAAAACTATTAAAAAGGCTATTCTTAAAGCTATTCTAGTAGCTATAGAATAAGATACTATTTATATAATAAAGAATATAATCTAAGCTTTCTACTTTAAGTATATATATTTTAGTACTATTAATACTATTAATACTTCTATTATTTTAAAGATATATCTAGCTAAGATAAAACTTTTTTTTATTTATTTACTTATACTTATATTTAAAACACTTACTAAAAAGATATATAAAGTATTCTATAAAAACTATTCTATTACTATAAACTAAGTAGAAGATTACTTAATTAGTAAGCTAACTAGAAAAAAGTTATTAATTACTATTACTATTTATATTTATAACTTTATATATATAGTAAAGCTTAAGATAAAGTCTTTACTATTTTTATACTTAGAGTAGACTATATACTAGTAGTATAAAGCTATTACTAAAATTTTAAGTATAAAAAATAATAAAAAATAAAATACTAGAGATAAAGTATTTATAGTACGTCTTCTCTTACTTAGTACTATTACTTAGATAGACACTATAGTTATATATTATAGTTACCTTAAATAAAACTTATCTTAAAAGTAATAGCTATTATATTAATATTACTAAAAAATAAAGATAAAGTTATAGTTAATAAGAAATAACTATAGTAAGTCTAGTATACCTATTACTATATATTATATTATTTCTAGTTATAGTATAAAGAATATTATATAGGTAAGTATAGAGTTAGTTTATAAAGCCTTTAGCTCTATTATAAAGTAAAAATAATTATATTACTATAGTAATATATACTAAATTAATATTAAAATTATTTTAGTAGTTCTAAGTAGAACTAGCTTAGAGTTTTTTAACACTTTTTAATATTTTTTAATATCTTTTTACTATAAAGATAACTCTAGATTAGACTTAAGAGTACTATAGTTACTTAGATATATAGCTTTAAAAAAAGATAACTTTTTAAATATTTTTTTCTCTCTTTATTACCTTACTATATACTAAGAGTTACTTATATAAATAGTATTAAGAAAAGTAAATATTCTACTTTTTTAGGTATAAACTATTTTATTATATATAGAAGACTTTTATATATTAAAGCTACTATTTATAGCTACTTTTAATATCTTTTATACTTATTATAAATATTTTTAGTAAAAGTAAAAATAGTATTACTACTTTTTCTAGTTAAAATAGAGAGTACTATTTACTTTAATAAGCTTAAAATTTAATATTAATTATACTTCTAATAGCTTTTTATTAGTAATTATACCTTTAATAGCTTTTACTCTTTAAATAAAAAATAAAGACCTATTATATATAAAAGCTATTTTAGAAAATTTAAGTATTCTTATTATATTCTATCTCTAATAGCTTTTCTATAGTGCGCGTAATAGTACTATAATTATACTAAGCAAAACTAGCTTTACTTAACTATTAAACTATAAAATACACTCTTCTAATTAAACTATCTTAAATTAGTACTATTATTAACACAAGAACTTACACTATTACTATTAGAAGAAATTTCTCTAAAGTAAATAGAATGTATATAGTGTAGTATAATTAGATAGTTTACTATCTGTTAAACTACTTTAATTAACCTTATTACTAGCTAGTTATACACAATTTGATCTGAAATAACAATCGCTCTCTAATCCTGGCAAAAGTAGTCCAGGAAAAGATCCGATTCATGACATCCATACGCGGTCAGGTAGCTAGCTTTTGACCGACCACTCATTTCCGATTATGACCCTCTCAATCTCCGTACCCACTCAACCCCGGTATAAGTCTCTATCATCGTCGTGAAGTTCATCCGATGCGTACTAACCTCCATTTTCGCGATTCCATCTATCTGCTGTTGAGATCTAGCTTGTAAAAAGCCTCTAATTACCGCCTCACGCCAATCATCTTCGTCGAGGTAGTCGTAGTCAAATTGAAAGTCGAAAAAGCCGAGCTTGTAGGGATGTAGCGCTGTCTCGGCATGAAGTTGTCGGGAGGTGAATAGTAAAGCAAGATCTTTCCTTAAGAACGATCCCGAGCAAAGTAGCCGTTCTTCATCCGGCCTCATACCGGTGAGAAAGTACTGATCAAACAGATAGTGGTCGCTCTCGAAGACGTAATGGTAGATGATGTTTCGCAGCTCGGCTGGTAGGCAGAGAAGCGGGGAGTTGACGGCATTGAGTTCTGTGCTAAAACGACGTATTAGCTATGAATGTGTGTCGTGGAGCTGGAGACTTGCATGTTTTGGCGAAAACCTTCCTCATGAGACACCCTGGCGACATTGGACTTCTTGCGGAGCGTCTCATCCAGAAGTGTTTGATCGCGAAGAGCTTGGACTTGAAGGGCTTGCTTGCGGTAGGCTTGATTCCGAGCCGCAGATCTCTGGCGCGCCCTGTTTCGCGCAGCTTCTTTGGTGAGGGTGCCTCGGCTGAAGATATTACCGAGCGCTTGCGAGGCGGCATGTTGGCGTGCGCTTGAAACGACGGCGATGTTGGAAATGAGTGGGTGAAGGGAGTGGAGCAGAGTAGGCGCAAGGTGGTGGAGTGTGCGAGAGCTCGCTAAGACGATATGTAAACACCTACGTACCTCGGTTGCTAGGCCACCATACTGAGTAAGAACGCCGGGTCAGAACAAATGTGAACGCGTCATGCCGAAAGCACACCTTCCAACGAGCCTTGTGCTATCTCAAGACTCATTCAGCAGAGATAGAGATATAACACGAGACGTATAGCAGTGCTGCTCACCGCGTCTTACTGCAAGGTGTAGTTACCAACTTCATGATACACATGTGAGATGAGCCGTGCATGTCACAGCTTTCCAGCTTCAACGACCATTCCTACGTAGTTGGCCGGTTACGAACGTTACTGCTCTTACCAGCTTCCAGTGCGGTCCGTGATAGCTCAGAGGTGAAATGCGGTTCATACTGAACAGCGGTATTGATGTACATCAAAATTGATTTGTGAGATGTGACTGCCACAAGGCTCTTCTGCCTGCTCGAACCTTCGCCTATCAAGCCCAGTGTATACTAGCGATTCCTTCGTGCATGGCGCACGATGGATCGCTATTTCTTTATCTTCAGCCTCTTGACCCAGTACAATCCAGTCCCCATCGCAAATGCCTGTTCTTCACAGGCGTAACGGCGTAGCGTCAGACAAGACATAGCTTTGGTCTGTTCTTCGGAACGCTTAGCGAGGAACTTGCTCACATCGGACTTCCATTGACTCTTGCTGGCGTCGTAGACCAGGAAATTAAATGTGCTGAGCTCGTAAGGAAGAGAGGCGGTCTCGGCATGGATTTGACGGGATACCAGAACCAGCCCCATGCCTGCCTCTTGGAATGAGCTTTCGCACAATGGGTAGTCTCCGTACGGCATATACAGGTTGTAGGTAATGTTGTCGAAAACGTGGCCGTATATCATATCGCGGAGCTCCGCTGGAAGACGAAGGAGCGGAGAATTTGCAGCGTTACGCGCGGTACTGCAACACGACGTTAGTGACGTTTCTCGCAACAAGTGCACGGCTGTAGAAATACATGCGGTCGTTAACGTCCGGATCTTGAGGAGATTCCGTTGCACCGGTTTCGAAGGTGCGTTTCTTTTTGTCATCTGGCGCGGCGGTGGAAACCAGCGCGGCGAGCTGTTGAGACTGGGTGGCAACTTCCGAACGCTGCATTGGAATTGATACAGGGTGTGCGAGCGTAGGAGTGTGGAAAGGAAGTGGGCGAGTGTGAGGAAAGTGGGAAAGCGCGGTCGGAGTGAGCGAACTAGGTAGTGTTGGAGAAGCGCGCGAGTGCGAGAAACTTAGCTAAGACGGCGCAAACGCACATTCGCTTTGGCTTTTTCGTGTTCAAGATGCGTGTGAACACCAGGGCAGAGAAGAAATGTTGAGAAAGCGTCATATGCAGATTGCCACCATCATTCCGCGCTCTGATTGGCCCTTTCCGGATCCCTCTATCGCCGCTAGGGAGTGTCTACTTGCGGTTTCAAGATTGAAGAGCTCAAACAATCTGACCACCGTCAGTGTTTATATAGGAGACGAAGTTCTTGCAGTCCCAATATTCAGCCCAGTACAACCCGGTTCCCATCTCAATGTCATCCTTTATCCACGCTTTGAAATACTTGTGATACTCCAATCTACTAAGGGCTCTGATTTGAGCCATTGATCTCAGCTCCAAAAACGTCACGATAGCATCGTCTTTGCTAGATTCAACTATCCATTCATCAACGCCCAAGTCGAAGGTTGCGAGCTTGTACGGAAGCAGTGCCGTTTCTTGATGAAGCTGACGAGAGACTTGAAGTAGGGCTAGATCGTTGCAGCTAGAGGATCTTAGAGTAATCCTTCTCTGATGTACCCAATCCATATTGTTCAGTATGTAAACTTCGTCGCAGAACACGTAGTGGTACACCAGGTTTCTGATCTCGGCAGGAAGACGGAGTAGAGGAGAGCGTACGGCGTTGGATTGGGTGCTGAAGTCCCGATATTAGCTACGTAAAATTTCGGCAACTTCAACAAGGGGAGGCTTACATTTCTTCCAGCCGAGCACGTTGACGTTCCTGGAGAAGCCGCTTGCGAGCCGCGGCCTTGAGACGACGAGCCCTACGACGAGTCCGGTGAAGCATCTGTAGCCCGAAAGAGGTCTGAAACATTGCCGACGAGATGGTTGTGTGTGAGCGCGGTAGGTGAGACTGTGGGATGTGGAGTAGATGTAAGATGAGAGCGTGAGGAGAGTGCGGGAGTGTAGTAAAATACGCCAAGGCTACAATGAGGAAGTCGCGTTGTCGTGGCGCTGGGTAGCCGTGCGTCATGGGGAACGAACATCTTCACTAGCCCAGGCGCGGCTTAAACCGCTCCGGCAAGACACGTATAGCGAGGGGAACTTCTGCATCGAATGGAAAGCTGACTTTCATAGTCGACGTGTTTCTTGCGTTCACCTGTGAGTCGCACCAAGAAGAAGTCACTCAATTTATAGTAGAAGTATGAGGATCTTCTTCTATAACAAACACTGAAGGTTTAGTCTACAATACAGAACTCTTGAAAGGTAGTGAACCATTTCGGTTTGGATGGCATTCACCAACACGAGTTCCCCTGCCAATACATACACAAGGATGTTATCTAGAGAACCAAGCGTCGGGCCATTCATCCAGGAAATTTCCGGAGAGGATAGAATCAACTTCATTCAAGAAGTCGGCTCCAGTTCCATTCCATCTCTTCTTGCAACATATGACCTCCATTCGACTGAGTGCCGTAAGTTGGGCTTCGGATCTCCTTTCCAAGAATATTTGTGCATATCCAGGAAACCATGGTTTCCTCCCATCGAAGACGAAGGTGGCGAGCGTGTAGGGAAGCAAGGCGGCTTCGTGGTAGACTTGACGAGAAGCTAGAAGCAGCCCCAGACACGAATGTTCAGCGCGACAAATAACCGAGGGGTAGTCATCCCATTGTGCTCCATGTTTGTAGATCTGATCACTGAACACGAAGGTGTAGATCGCGTTCCGGATTTCAGCGGGAAGGCGAAGAAGCGGCGACTGGGTGGCGTTGAGCTTTGTTCTAGTGTATATGGTGAGTTGAAGAGCCGCTGGGCAGAAGCAAGGGAAGTCTTACATTGAGTCGCGGCGAGCAGCATCTTGTGGTAGGTGCATGTCCGCTGCGGCTTTCTGAAGACTTGCGTCTGCCATCTCGTTGCCTAAGAGGACTGAACACGCTGGTGGCGGGATGGCGCTGTGAGCAAAGAGAAGACGAGACTAAGAGTCGTGGCAGTGGCAGTGCGTGTGGGAGGTGTGCGGGGGTGTGAAGAGGGGGTCGCGTTGTTGTTGTGGTTACTGGGTGACCAAAGGTCAGTGCGAAACTCATAGTAGTTGCTAGTTTGAAAATACGTCATTGCAAACGACTGTCCTAACGCCCGAAAGCCTTATTGCCGCAGGGCTCACGGACATCACCAGCAGTGTGTTGTCGCACATCGGCTGCGGCAATGTGCACAGAGAGCAAGGAGATTATGTAGACTGTATTGCTGAAACCTCGCTCAGTGCATGCCGTTCTTTTAAGAGACAGTACAAGAGCTAACAAAAGCTCCGTCGTCGGCGTCGTCCTGAAAACCGATCTCGAAGCCCCGGCAGATGGCTTCCGAACGGCTAAGAGAAGTACTCCTGGCAGCCCAACTCTGCAGCCCAGTACGCCGCATCTCCTGTCCACATGCCTTCCATCTTCTCGTCCCCTAGTGCTCTCTGGAACTGGATAGACCATGGTCCTCCACTCACACAGACGTCGACCTGCATCCTGCCAAGAATCTCAGCCTGCGCCATCGTTCTATTCTTCAGAAAGGACTTCATTACCATCTGCGTGGGACCGACTTTACGATAGGCGGAGGTCATAGAGACACCAAAATCGAATATTGCGAGCTTGTAAGGATGTAGGGCTGCTTCGTGGTGGGTTTGACGAGAAGCTAGCAGCAGTGCCATTCCGGGGTACTTTTGGGTATGCAGATCGGTAGCATTGGGTGCAGGTCTGACACCTCCGCTGAGTAGCCACTCTTCAATGTCTAGCTTGGACTTCCTCTCAAGCCTGAAAATCTCATCACGGAAGACATAGACATAGATCATGTCTCTGATCTCGGCGGGTAGACGAAAGAGGGGAGACTGGATAGCGTTGAGCTCGGTGCTAATTCATTGTCAGTAATTGCACTGGCACTGAACAATGGAGAGACTCACAGCTTGTCGATCCGCGCGCGCTTGCGTCTCTCTAACTCTTGAGCGAAAACCACTTCCTTCCCCATGGACGCTGAAGACATTGGTGGCGACCTTGGGCGGTAGCGTCGAGGCGGTGTAGTCGAAGGAAACGGGGAGTGTGGTGGGCGAAGGAAAGCGCGAATGTAGCGTAGAAGTGAAAGAGTGAGTGACGTCGCCAAGACTCGAAAGAGGCAGGCGCGTTGTTGTCGTTGCTGGGTGACCATGTGAGGTGGGTGCGAACTTTAAAGTGGAACACGATAGCTGATTATGAACAGGTGACGTGCACTTATCGCTTATTAAATACATTGACTGTATTGGAGTCATTGCAGCAACCGAGAGAGTATAGCCGTCTTGACGAGGAAAACGGGAACATTCTTGTGAAGAGAGGAACTACCAAGTCCACGAATGCCTGGCCTTTCTAGTCAGATGGCCCAAGCGAGGAGACATCAAACAGCATGCGATCATATGAACCCATCTTGGCAACAGAAACAGCAAGATCCTTCAACTTGGCCTCCCAGTGTGCACCCGTCCTTGTCTGATGCCAATGGTCATTCATCGAGACCGACCATTGGGTGAACTTCAAAACAGCCATCGCGTCGATTTGCCCAGGCACCGCTGACCGTTTTCCAAGGAACTTCTTCAACGTGCAGAGCTCTTCGAGTCCACATGCCAGATGGGCCCAAAAGTCGAACATACCAAGCTCATAGGGTAGGAGAGACGCTTCAGCCTCCGTCTGGCGGCAGACGAAAGATAGACTGACTAGCCCTTCATTGTATCCTTTGTATCTTGGGAGTGTCAGATGCCCTCTTTTGTGCAAGAAAAGCCATTTGTCAGTATAGACGTGGGCGAAGACTATGTTCCTGATTTCCGTTGGGAGGCGCAGAAGGGGTGAGTTGACAGCATTGAGCGTAGTACTAGCCATTGTCAGTCGCACCCTGTGACAAGAAGCGCGGAATCTTACATCTGATCCCGACGAGCTTGGTCGCGAATATCTTGAGCAGCTGCGCGACGCGATGCCCTGTCCTCCCGTGCTTCCTTCGCAGACGACGTGGTAGCGGGAGGGGTCGATGGGCGCTTGCGCTTGGCCATGTCGAGTTGCGATTGGTGTTTCGATGGAAATGGGGTAAGGGTGAGGAGTAAGATAGAAGCAAGGGTCGAGAAGACTACCCAACCTGGGCTGACCAATCAAAGTGAGGGTGACTTCTAATCAGAGCCGGCCATGATAAGAGCCGCAGCTTCCACATCAGACAGCCACCAGTAAACAGGTGACGTCACTAACCACAAACACATCACTGCTCCAGAGGTTGATTAGCGCAATACTTCAGGAACAGTACCGACTTACCTGAAATGCGAAAGCAGTACCGCGCTGACAGCTGCAGTCAAGGCAAGACTATGCGCTCATACTGAGTAGAAAGATGAAGAAGCCGTACTGTAATGCCGTCACCTCAGCTTCCGATGTTCATGCAGATATAACGAGGAGCAAGGAGATGGATAGTATTCAGGTTATCGCAGCAAGCGAAAATGTGGAGCTATCAATCTTGCTAGGTACAAGAACACTCCCATGAAGAAGACGACTGCCCAGTCCCCATCACGTCGGCTCGGGATCAGTTGGACCGAAATTGGCAATGTCGAAGTGCTTGGGCACTCCAAAGTACATCCCAGCGCCAGAGAAGAAGGCCATCTCGTCGAGCTTCGCGAGCCAGTATGCGGCAGTTCTAGTTTGTATCCAGAAACGATGATGATCCCATGAAGTTCGCCAGAGCGTCACTTTACCAGTCGCACGAAGCTGCCTAGGCGAAAGCCGTTCTAGAAAGCTTCCCATCCCCACTACCGCCAGGTGAGGATCCCACTCCTGTGCCATGAAATTGAAGGAACCAAGCTCATAAGGCAACATTGCTGTTTCGGCATGAACCTGGCGGCAGACAAGAAACAGGCGGACTTCGCATCTCCTCGAGTATGTCACCGTATTGATCAGAACGGTACGGAATTCACCATCATATCCTCCAAGCTCGAGGTGATAGGCTGCGTCAGTATAGACATAGGCGAAGATCTCGTTCCTCAACTCGGCGGGAAGACGAAGCAAAGGCGAATTTGCGGCGTTCGACTTGCTGCTACAACACATCATTAGTTACGTATGCAGATACCAGAATTAGAAACTTACACTCGGTCGCGAAGGCGTGGGCTGCGAGGAGCTTTCTCAACAGGATCCTGAACTGAATATAGTGGCGTGATTTGGGCTTCAAGGGTTTCAAGGGATGAATTTGAGCTCGAAACGGAGCCGGACCTCTGAGCTCTGTTGGCACGCAGTTTCTTGCTGGGAGAAGACTTGGGGGGAGGCTTGCGTGCGCGCTTGCGTTTAGCCATCGTGATTTGAGCTTGGTGGTTTGGATAGAAGACAAAGTGTGTGGACAAGAGGTAGGGGAGTGGCAGGAGAGAAGAAGAAAGATGGAGGAGACCGTCGGGCTGGTTGTATGAAGAGGCGTCTTGAGCGCCAAGCGATGAAAATGAACGGTGAATGGTGAGTTCCAGTTTGGGCTGAAGGTTCATCGTGCATTTGGAAACTCGTTGAACGCCAGAATGAGGTATCGTATAAACTAAAGAGACAAAACAGATAAGTAAATGCAGACAACTTGAACCGAGACAAGAAAGACTAAAAGACAAAAATACCATCCCACGCATGTCCATATCAAATTACCATCCATTCCCCACAAAACAATTTACACCCACTTTTAAGACATGGTCATACCCACCACTTACTGAATCCTCTCATCTCGATCAGTCGCACCATAGCCGGCAGGCTTCCTAGCCCTTCCAGTAACATCACTCCACGCAGCACCAAACCTACGTCCAGTGCTAGCAAGCAGACCCTCCTCCTCTTCCTCCTCAAGATCGCGATCAATCTGTTCCTGATCCAGACTAGGCGCCTTGAACAGCGTAGTCAAGAAAACAATGAGATACACACCCAAGAAGGCGAACTGAGCCCAGAAGAGGACGACGCCGAAGAAGGGGAAGTTGATGGTGACGCGGTTGATGAAGGTGCTGAGGACGGAGGGCGTGCAGACCTGCTGAGCAGCGGGGTTGGTGGCGAGTTCGCTGCAAGCCTTAATAAGGTCTTTGTGCTCGGTGCAATCAGGCTGTTCGTCTATGCTGTTGGTCTTCATGTCGCAGTAGGTTTGCGGGCCCCAGGTCGCGTATTGGGGCGCGACGACCATGGCGACGGAGTAGTTGATTGCGAGGGTGATGAGCGTGAGCAGCACTGTCGCCATGAGGAGTGCCTGGGGCGAAGTATGTCCCTTGCGAATCTTGAAGATGGTGATCCAGAGGAAGCGGATACCAGCGGTTGCGATACCGACAACAGAAGCAGAGAAGAAGAAGAGTACGAGGAGAAGGAACATAACATAGTCGATGGGGAACACCTTGGCGGACTTGACGAGGATGTAGTTCAGCGGCTGGAAGATGTTGATGTGGCCGAGGATGTAGCCGCAGTGGGCGCCGCAGATGGAGTTCTTGGCCTTGTCGATGCCGGTGATGAGCATGCTGGCGAAGATGACGAGGGCGAAGACCATGAGGATGAGGCCGCCGATGAGCTTCAGCGGGCGGAAGAAGGCTTCGGTCTTGATCCAGGCCTTGACGATCCAATGGCGGTCCTCGCCGCTTGACTCGGCAGCGAGACGCTCGCGACGGATGAGGGTGCGCTCTTCGCGGACAAGGGCTTCCAATTCGCGTCTATCCCTGCTGTCCAGTCCGCCCTCGCTGCCTTCGTTGCGGCCTTCAAGCTGTCTCTGGCGCTCGCGGTTGTTCTCCAGCTGGGATGCGGTGTTTGCGGCGAGGGTGGGTGCTGAGACGGATGGCGCGGACTTGATCATGGCGACGGGGAGGAGAGCCATACCGGCACCGGTGTAGAGCACGAAGAGGACCGTTCCGACGGTGATGAGGAAGCCGAGGCCGAAGGATAGAGCGCGTTCGCCATCTAATGGAGTTAGCCAATGTCGTCAAACAATGGAAGTCGCTGCTTACGGTTCTCTGATAGAAGATGCTTGAAGTAGTCGAGGTCCAGACGCTTGTCATCCTTGGCCTGCTTCGCAAAGGGCACGAAGAAGCCGACGAGGAAGATTGCGACTACAAAGATGAGGAAGCCGAGAGTCCACTTGAGAGCACCTGCAATGCGCTGGCCAGCGGTCTGCTCGCCGTGCTCAGCCGCGTCCTCATCGTATTCCTCGTACCAGAAGTAGGTAAAGGGAATGACGAGCAGGCAGAGAAGCGCATCGAGCGAGTAGAGCGTGTAGTAGACGATGCGCAGAGTGTAGACAATGCTATCGACCTTCTCCGGTGTCGCCCAATCCTTCTTGCGGCCTAGACTGGATCGCGAGGTAGACGAGACGAGAGCGACGTCGACGGGAATGAGGAGGACGGTTGCGAGCAGGGCGAGAGTGGTGAAGATGCAGACAATGGTAACGGCAGCGGCGCGATCGCGCGGCTTCTGATAGACATAGACGAATGTGGACGCGATGAGGAAGAGGATTCCCACGGCGACGGCGTAGGCGACCCAGATGAGAGAGGTCTGTATCAGCGCCATGTTGATACCCGTGGACAGCAGTTGCTATCGCTGGAGGAGAGAAGAGGGGATTCCAGGTAGAAGCCGCCGATGTTTGGAATGACGTCTAGCGGCCAGAACCCTGCTTCGATCCTGCCCAGAACAGCTAGCATGGGTCGCACCTTCCCGGGCTGGAGCTCCAACACAACACGCTAGACAGAATCGCGCATGAGCTCTTTCGACGCGACCTCGGTCAACACCACGAATTCGCGCTGAGCTATACCGCCCCACCCAGCACGACGACCACGACTGCCATGCGAAGTGTTGCAGCGACCTCTCACCACCACCATGCAGTGCTACACTGAGATAGCCCCGCCCACCGCCGTCAGCCATGCCATCAGCCTGCCCTTCGTGCACTCTAGGTCAAACAACCTAGTCGTCGCAAAGAACTCGCTGCTCCAGATCTTCGAGCTCAAGGCGACCACGACCGAAGTCACCCCGGGCGGAGGAAACGAGTCGGAGAATGCCGCGGCCAACCTCGACACAGAGGCGGCCGACGTGCCGTTGCAGCGCACCGAGAGCACGGCCAAGCTGGTGCTGGTGGGCGAGTTCCCCCTCGCCGGCACCGTCATATCGCTGGCGCGCGTGAAAGCGCTCAACACAAAGTCAAAGGGCGAGGCGCTGCTGGTGGCGTTTCGGGATGCAAAGCTCAGTTTGGTGGAGTGGGACCCGGAGACGTACAACCTCCATACAATATCAATACACTACTATGAGAACCCAGACTTGCCCGGCATTGCCCCTTGGTCCGCTGATCTCAAAGACACGTACAACTTCTTGACGGCAGACCCCAGCAGCAGATGCGCCGCCCTCAAGTTCGGCACCCACAACCTCGCCATTCTGCCCTTTCGCCAGCGTGATCTCGTCGAAGATGACTATGATTCCGATGCTGAGGCTCCCAAGGAGACCAAGGCTGAGCAGGCGGATGGCGAGAAGAAGACCCCGTATTCTTCCTCCTTCGTCCTCCCACTCACCAACCTCGACCCTACCCTTACCCACCCCGTCCACCTCGCCTTTCTGCACGAGTACCGCGAACCCACCTTTGGCATAGTCGCTGCCTCGCGAGCCACCGCCCCGTCATTACTCGCCCACCGAAAAGACATCCTCACCTACTCTGTCTTCACCCTCGATCTCGAACAAAAGGCTTCCACTACGCTCCTCTCAGTCACCGGACTGCCTTACGACATCACGAGAGTAGTACCGCTGCCGTCTCCCATTGGCGGTGCTCTGTTGGTAGGAGGAAACGAGATCATACACGTCGACCAGGGAGGAAAGACGAATGGCGTGGCTGTCAACGAGTTTGCCAAGGCTTGTACATCGTTCCCGCTCAGCGACCAGTCAGATCTGGCCCTCCAATTGGAAGGATGCCAAGTCGAGCTGTTATCGCAGGACACGGGTGATGTGATGATCGTGCTCAACAGCGGACGCATCCTCATCCTTACCTTCACGCTCGACGGCCGTACTGTATCCGGAATGACTATACAGACTGTCTCGGAAGACCATGGCGGTCAAACCCTCAAAGCTGCCGCTTCATGTACGAGTAATCTCGGCAGAGGGCGGCTGTTCGTTGGAAGCGAAGACGGCGAGTCAGTAATGCTAGGCTGGACTGGCTCATCCACTCAACTGCGACGCAAGCAAACGAATGCTGATTCCGACGGCGACGAGGACATGTCCGACGAGGAGGATATGGATGATATGGAGGACGATCTCTACAACGATACGGCACCGGCGGTTCAAAAGATTACGGCAGCTGTATCTGAGCCCACGGCGCCAGGAACGTACACATTCAGGATTCACGACGTCTTGCCAAGTATAGCACCGATAAAGACCGCCGTCCTCCATCCTGGCAAGGTTACCGATTCTCTGAACAAGGGTGAGATCATGCTGTCTACGGGTAGAGGGTCGGCTGGAGCCATCACTGCCCTTGACCGCGAACTCCACCCTGTCAGTATCGCGACCAAAGAGCTTCCTTCAGCGCATGGCGTCTGGGCTGTACATGCTCGAAAGCAAGCCCCGGGAGATGTCACTGCAGCGTTTGGCGAAGACACTGAAGCCAACATGGCTACTGATGTTGACTATGACCAGTACCTGGTTGTCTCCAAAACCATTGACGACGGCACTGAAACTACTGTGGTATACGAAGTCAACGGCAACGAGCTGACTGAAACCGACAAGGGCGATTTTGAGCGTGAAGAAGGCTCTACTCTCTTCGTGGGTGTGTTGGCCGCCGGCACAAAGGTTGTGCAGGTCATGCGGACAGAGGTCAGGACGTGCGATTCGGGTAAGCCAGATCATCTACGTTATCCGCCTTTCAGACTAACATGGTTGACTAGAACTTAATATGGACCAAATCCTACCCATGGAAGACGAAGACAACGGAAACGAGATCAACGTCATCAACGCCAGTTTCGCAGACCCATACCTACTCATCTTGCGCGAGGACTCCAGTGTCAAGATCTTTAAGGCTACCGGTGACGGCGAGCTTGAAGACGTTGAAGCGACTGGGCTGACGGGAACAACATGGCTTTCGGCCAGTCTGTTCAAGTCATCTAGCTTCACGGAAGTGTTTGCCTTTCTCCTGACACCAGAAGGTGGCCTTCGCGTCTTCGCCATGTCTGACATGGAGAAGCCGTGTTACGTTGCTGAGGCGTTGAGCTTCTTACCGCCGGTACTAGCGATGGATTATGTTCCTAAGCGGAGCGCGATCAAAGCGACCATCACCGAGATTCTAGCAGCGGACTTGGGGGATGCCACTACAAAGTCTCCACATCTGATCGTAAGATACTATATCAGACTCACATTACTCCAGCGACTAACCACATCCAGATCCGCACTTCCAGCGATAACCTCGTCATCTACAAAGCTTTCCATTCTCCATCACGATCTGCTTCCGAACTTTGGACTCAAAACCTGCGATGGGTCAAGCTGTCGCAACAGCACATACCAAGATATATCGAAGATGCAGGTTCCGAAGACCAACGGTTCGAAAGTACCCTGTTAGCGGTGAGCGACATTTGCGGCTACAGTACCATCTTCCAGCGAGGCACAACCCCGGTTTTCATCTTCAAAGAGTCATCAAGCGCACCACGCGTGATTGGCCTTAGTGGTAAGCCTGTTAAGGGTCTTACATCGTTCCACACATCGAACTGCCAGCGCGGATTTGCCTACCTTGACTCTACAGACACACTGCGCATCTCTCAACTTCCGCCTCAAACACACTATGGCCACCTCGGATGGGCAACACGACGCATGCCAATGGATGCAGAAGTGCACGCCCTTGCCTACCACCCGGCAGGGTTATACGTTGTTGGAACAGGCCAGTTCGAAGAATATCAACTGGATCCCAGTGAGACCTACCACTACGAACTGCCCAAGGAAGACATGAGCTTCAAGCCCAAAATTGAGCGTGGCGTTCTGAAACTACTAGACGAGAAGTCCTGGACGATTATCGACACACATGTTCTGGATCCACAGGAAGTCATTCTTTGCATCGAAACGCTCAACCTCGAAGTCAGCGAAGTGACACACCAGCGCAAAGACCTCATCGCAGTCGGCACCTCGATCGTCCACGGCGAAGATCTTGCAACTAAGGGTTGCATCCGTATCTTCGAAGTCATCACCGTAGTGCCCGAACCCGATCGTCCGGAGACCAACAAGCGCCTCAAGCTCATCGTCAAGGATGAAGTCAAAGGCGCGGTGTCCGCTATCTCTGGACTGGGCACCCAAGGCTTCATGATCATGGCCCAGGGACAGAAGTGCATGGTCCGAGGTTTGAAGGAAGACGGCACCTTGCTTCCAGTCGCGTTTATGGACATGCAATGCTACGTCAGCGACCTGAAGAACTTGCCTGGAACGGGTATGCTGGCTATGGCTGATGCATACCGGGGTGTCTGGTTCACGGGGTACACAGTAAGTTCTCCTGCGATTACTGAAACTCGGCCGTATGAGATATGATACTAACACCACAGCAGGAAGAGCCCTACAAGATGTCTCTCTTCTCCCGCTCAAAGCATAATCTAGAAACCATCGCGGTCGATTTCCTGCCCTTTGACCAACAACTCCACCTCATCGTCGCAGACGCAGACATGAACCTGCAAGTCCTGCAATTCGATCCAGATAGTACGTCTCCCTTCCTCACCTCTAGACCTACACACCCAAACAGTCAACTAACACATCCATCTCACAGACCCCAAATCCGAAGCGGGCTCCCGCCTCCTCCACAAATCCACCTTCCACACCGGCCACTTCCCCACCTCCCTCCACCTCGTCCAATCCCACCTATCCCTCCCTTCCACAACCGATGCCTTCGCATCTAACGCCAACCCCGCCACCGACGAAGACGACATGGACACCACAACCCCCTCCCCATCATCCCCACCCCAACCTCTCCACCAAATCCTCCACACAACACAATCCGGCACCCTCGCTCTGCTCACCCCTCTAACAGAGGATTCCTATCGTCGTTTATCCAATCTCACTGCGTACCTCGCCAACACGCTCGACTCGCCGTGCAGTTTGAACCCGAGAGCGTTTCGAATGGGCAGCGAGGCGACGGGTGATGGCGGGTGGGATGCGGGGACTGGGGCGAGGGGTGTGCTTGATGGCAATCTTTTGATGAGGTGGGGTGAACTTGGGGAGAGGGGGAGGAGAGAAGGACTGGGTAAGTATGGCGAGGGTGAGGAGGGGAGTTGGTTGTTTTGGGGGGAGAGAGAGGTTCTGGGGGGGTGGGGGGTTTTTGGGGGACGGGGACGGTAGTGGTGTTAGAACGACAGGCAGATGGGTGAGCTGAGTAGCGGACGAAGGGCTAGTAAGACAGTATAGACTAGGCAAGAATGTGAGAAGAGACGTTGGAAAAAGAAGCGTCTCTATCAGCAACATATCACTAATCCAATGCCATCGTGCCATCGCCAAGGCGTTGGGGTACAGGGATGGCAAACCTTACTTCATCGCTACATGTCATAATGAGCGATGCAAGATTACAAAACATCAATCATATAGTTGCAAACCCCTCTTGGATAGTTATCACAGAACCATCGCATTATCATCTCACCACTAAACCCACAGTTTACCAAGAAATGCCATTGTCGGGGCAGCTCGCCTGTCTAAGAGAACGCCGGCAACAAGCAACAAAGCTATAATGATGCCTTTGCTTACAGAAAGTAAAAGAAGGAAAATAAACTCTCTTTGGTATCGCAGAAGCCTCATCTCTCAAAGGCTAGCAGTTGTCGAAAACCTCCAATGCAGAAAGAAACTCCTCTCACGCCCCCATCTCCTTCCTTCTACAGCTTCATACTTCGTTCCTTTGCATTCATGCATCGTAAAATCATGCTAACTCCATCATCTACTCCAGCACAGAAACGATGGTACCGCACACACCTCTTACTGAGACGCACACTGCACGCGCTCAGCCCCGGGATGCATATCATCATCCTCATCCTCCATACCGCCCATACCCCTCGCGCGCTGGCCCTCACCACCAGCATCAACATCCTCGAGCGTAAAGTCCTCCGTCATGGCATCAGCCGGCGGCATAGACTCCGGTACCTTGCGGGGCGGCAGCACAGACTCCAGGGCGCGAATCTGTTCGGGGGACATGGGCCCGCCGTCCTCGTTGTTACCGAGGCGCTCCGGGAACTTGACGTCGAACTGGATGTACAAGTTGCCAAAGTCGTGGTGGCGGTACGACGGCATGCCCTGACCGCGGATGACCTTGACTTCGCCGGGGGAGATGCACTCGCCGGGGATGATGTCGACAGTTAGCCAGCGCTCGTCGAGGTGCTCGATGTGGATCTGGCCGCCGGCCAGCGCGGTCAGGAGATCGATTTCGGCGTGGTAGAAGAGGTCGTCGTCTTTGCGTTGGAAGCGCGCGTGTGGTTTCTGCTCGATTTCGAAGACTACGTCGCCGGGTTCTACGCCGGGGAGCTGGTCGCCTTCGCCGCGGAACTCGATCTTGTGGCCCGACTTGACGCCGCGGTCGACGTGGACGTGCAGGACCTTGCGCTCGATTATCGTCTTCTTGCCGTTGCACTGCTTGCAGCGGTCCTTGTCGCGGATGATTTCGCCTTCGCCCTGGCAGTCTGGGCAGACAGTTTGGAAGCGCTGGATCATGGGGCCCATCTGGCGCATCATGTGCTTCATACCGCGGCCGTCGCAGCCAGCGCACTTCTTGACGGCGCCGTCCTTGCCGCCCGCGCCGTGGCACTTGGGGCAGATGACGGATTTCTGGAGAGCGAGCTTCGAGACCTTGCCGCGGTAGACATCTTCGAGCGAGACCTTGTGGACGTGCGAGATTGTGCGCGCCTTCTTGGGTCCTTGTTCGCGTCCGCCGCCCATGCCGCCGCCAAACATGCCGCCGAAGGGACCGCCGCCGCCGCCGAAGAACTGCGCAAATAGGTCCTCGGCTGCCATGCCGCCACCGCCGCCCATGCCGCCTTGCTCGAGTCCTTCCTCGCCATATTGGTCGTATATTTGGCGCTTCTGGGGGTCTGAGAGAACTTCGTATGCGTGGGAGAGGTCCTTGAACTTGTCGGCGGCCTCGGGGTTGTGGGCGTTCTTATCGGGATGCCACTTGAGCGCTCCCTTCTTGTACGCCGTCTTTAGTTGTGACTCGGCGCAGTCTGGCGCTACCTGTGGGTTGTTAGTCTTCTCGCCTTGAGCTGTTTGTGGAGATGGGTGTGCTTACCCCCAGGATATCGTAGAACTTTGTGTCTTTGACCATGGTCGCGGTTCGTGGTTGTGTGATAGAAACGTAGACGAGGGGCTAGCGGGGTCGTAAAAGTCGGGTTGAGGGGCAATAGAGAAAGGTCTCTGTGTGGTCTGTGGAAAGCGCGAGTCGCGGTGTCGGGAAGATCTTAAATCAAGTCAGCGTCAAGTCCTGGGGGGCCAAAAGTCGCAGCAGTCGCCCGGTTGCAGCTCAGCCTTGCAGGTGAAAGAAGGCGCGGGTAACTGGTCGAAGTGCTGACACAATGAGCAAAAAGGCGCTTACCTAAAGTCGCCGCGGGGAGTCTTCGCGGTTCGAGAAGAGAAGAAAACGGGTATCTGACTCGGAGGCAAGGTGCGTGTTCACAGTGTATATTGGGGTGCGTGGGAGGGCGAACGCTTGTCGACTTAAAAGTAGTAACCGGGATGTTGCAAATGCACCGGCTGCGCCGAGCGAGAGAAGATTCCAAACAATTCCATGCCCTTCCACGCTGCCTCGCCAGCCCAAGATTGCCTGAATCCGCTCGTCTGCCTGCCCAAACTACGCAGCAGGCTCCACTCTATAGAATGTCACTACAAACTCCGATATTCACTACCTCAATGTCTGCATATGGCACGAGAACATGCGTTTGCCATTGCGCATTGCTTGGGAAGCTTCGATGAAGGTACGCTATGACCGCTTTTGGCCGAGCCAATCAGCGCGGGGGCGATCAGGCAGGGCTCTTATCGCCGAAGATTGGCGAAGTTCCGGGCGCCGGAAGGGGACCCTTCTTTTGCCTTGCGCCATCGCGCAGCTTCGCCGCCTCAGCCACATGGAGAATTTGAGCAATGGTAGGGCCGATATGGTGCCTCAGGCTCAACGTCAAGGCAACAGGCGGGCATAATCGTCTCTTCGCAGCAACAACAGGTATTGGGGACGTTGTTCAGGCTGGTGAGGGCGATGCATTGTTGTCTTGGCTTGATCAAGGAAGTGTAAGTAATGCACAGCGTAGATGCTTGGGACATTTGGAGGTCACGATGAACAACTCCAATTGTATCGGAGATCTCTAACCTTGCTACATAACGGTATCGAAAGAGACGACTCATGGGGCAGGCGATCCCCGTCATCAGGATAGATTGAGGAAGCCACGGCCGGCCATCGCAGAGGCGACGACGGACCTACACCCTACTTCTCATCGTATTAATCGTCATCCTCATCCTCGCTCTCATCCTCACTCTCATCCTCACTCTCACCATCACCCATACGCATACGAATCTCCTCATCGTAGTCATCATACTTGCAAAGAAACCTCAGCCATTCCAGTCCTGAACGGCACCACTCGCCGTCCTGCTCATCAGCGTACATCCACCACACCTCCTTCATCAGCGCAATCTGCTTTGATGTCCGCCGATCAAGCATGAAGTAAAGATCGTAACAGAGATTGACGCTGACCTTGAACCTGTTGAGCTTGTAAGGTAGCAAGGCGACTTCCGCGTAAATCTGGCGGCAGACGAAGAGCAGAGGTTCCGCTTGAGGTTCCGCTTGGTGGTCGGGCCACCGGTTCCGGTCTGCTGCCTTGGTTCCATACACGGCGTCGTTGAAGTCCATTATGATGTCTCCATGGCTCATAGCGAGGACGTAGATTATGTTTCGGAGTTCTGCAGGTAGGAGGAGGAGGGGTGAGGTCGTCGCGTTGCGCTCGAATCTATGACAGTCAGTCGTGGAGGCTTTACCTGAGGTAGACACTGACTTACATTCTATTTGAGAGTTGGGTCTGCTGCGCGATCCTGGTATCGGTTTCTGGCTGCATTGCGAAGACAGACATGCTGGAGCTGTTGTTTGTGTGTGGCTAATTAGTTGGGTAAGTAGCTTGCTTGAAGGTGCGTGTAGAAGGGAAGGAGCGCTGGAACAAGAAGTGAGATGTATCGACTAGTCAGTGCGCTAGTCGCAAAGGGTAGGTGAGGTGACGCAGTAGTTTTCTGAATCTTTACTGCACTACTTGGCTGCTCCAAAGGACTTAGAACTCGCCATTGGTGAGAGGAGCACACTGTGTATTGATACCCCGGATGAAGAGACCGTCGTGTCCGTCTGCTACAATGACAACGCCAGGCTGGTCACACACCTCGCATCGATCGTCGCTACCATCTACTCCCGCCCTTCAAGTCTCCTTCTCCAGCATTTCCTTGAGAAACGCCATCCATTTAGCAGCAGATGCTACGTGCACTTGATGGCCGTGGTTAGTGAGCTTGCACATCACTTTGACCATGAGATCAAGTTGATCTGGCGTTCGCTGTTTCAGAAGGTCGCCGAGATCGGCATAGCGATTGAAAGTGATGGAGAAGACGTTAAGTTTGTAGGGTAGTAAGGCCACCTCCGACGTGATCTGACGGCAGACGAAGAGCAGAGGTTCACTATGGCGTGGCTCAGATGTGACGATGTCTGTCTGCATGTTGTATTTTAGGTGTAGGTTGATGGTTTCATGATACATGGCGTGCTCGAAGATCATGTTTCGCATTTCTGCTGGGAGAAGGAGGAGAGGCGAGGTTGTTGCGTTGAGGTAGGTGCTTCAGCGAAGGTTGCGTCAGTGTTCGTCAAGGCACGCCTTTCAAAAATCAACTCACATCGCATTGAGCTCCTCTTCGCTCTTGGGCTCCTCTGGTCGCGCTTCGGCAGAGGTCATACTTGAGCTATTATCTTCTTGTTGCTCCTTGGGAAGCGAGATGCTGAGCTTGGGATTGGTATCAGGTAGCTGACGGAGGCGGAGGGGTGAGTGTAGAAGAGAAGTTAGGGCGGGGAATAGTGGTACATGTAATTGCTCGTCAGCACGCTAGTTGACTAGCACGAAGGACAGGTAAGAGTCACGGTGAGAGATGGAAGGTGGTTCCCCCCTCACTGCACCGCTTCGTCATAGAAGTCAGGTTGGAAAAGAGCAGCCCTGTGCGATGGCATTGATGACTAAAGAGACATGTTTCGTGGGATCAATAAGCTCACAACCTGATGCCCACGCTTCAAGAATGCGACTCAGCTGTTCCCTAGAACAGATGCCTAATCTCCAACCATTCCTCCGCAGACCTCTCTTGTTCAGTGGACCCAAGCTTCCACCGCACCCTAGTCATGACACCAATCTGAGGCGGTGTTCGAGCCTCGAGAAATGAGTACAGTTCGAGGGAGCCGATCTTTGTATAAATAGGGCCGAGGTATGATAAGAAAGGCTTGGTGACGATGAATCTGTTGAGAGCGTACGGCAGCAGCGCAGTCTCGGCGTGAATTTGACGGCAGACTCGGACCAAGTTAATCGGCTGTTTAACGTTGGTGACAATACCACCAAGTACCAAGAAGTCATGCTGGGTAAGAGCTAACGCAAAGCTCATGTTGCGAATCTCCCCTGGAAGGCGTAGAAGCGGGGATGTTGCTGTGTTGAGATACGTGCTGTAAGCAACATATGTCAGTATCCATCGAAATGATCAGTTTAGGAGAGAACTCACATCTGATTCAGCCGTTGTTCCTGTTGCGTGGCCTCGACTTTCAAGTTCTCCGCACACTCTATGATTGCGCGCTTCCTGTTCACCTCGTTCCTAGAGGAGTACATGCTAGCGTACTTTTTTTTTGGTTGCATCTCGGAAATAAACGTGCTGGAGTCGGGGTTGAGGTGTGAGCAGATAACTAACGGAGGTACGGGGGTGAGTGTTGAAGCGAAGGAAAGCCTGTGGTAAGGGATATCAATGAATCTAGTCAGCGCGCTAGTCGGCGATCTCAAAGAACAGGTGAAGTTGGAAATTAAGAGCTGTCTCACTTTTGGATTGCGCTGCTCCCATGTAGGAGAACTGCTAGACAAAAGCAGGCCTGGATCAAGAAATTGGCCACGGTTATATATGACACGATGTAGCCTCAACATAGAGACAGAGCTGAGATGCGCGGCGCCTTCCATCTGCCATAGTGATCTATGCTCGCGAGTTCATGTCCTTATGTCTTATTAGGACACCCTTGCTTCTATATCGCAGTCGGTCCAACCATTCACTCGCGGTTCGCACGCCCATATTCACCTGCGGGCCCCTCTCAACTCTCGCCATAGCGCCAATTTGTGCCGTTGTTCTACGTTCGAAGAAGTCTTTGACAGCGTTGTAGTGACCGTAGACCACAAAGATATTGAGCTCGTACGGAAATAGAGCGGTCTCGAAGTGAATTTGGCGACACACGTAGAGCAGACTGACGTTGGCGGGATCTGGCCAGCTGCGATGCTTCCAGCAGCCTGTTCCACCGGGTCCGTCTTGTATACTGGGAATGATGTGTAGCTTGGTGTCGCCGTGACTCAGGGCGTAGGCGAAGATCATGTTTCTAATTTCTGCGGGGAGACGAAGAAGTGGGGAGGCGGTAGCATTGCGTTGAGTACTGCAGTTATGTATTAGCACCTACTTCCAAGAGCTTCGCCCTGTTTTGAGACCTACATGTGAGCGCGCGCTTCTTCTTGCTCCTCTTCTGTGTTCATGTTGACGTCGGAGTTGGCGATGGGTGTTGCGAAGAGGGTTCGAGGAAGTGTGTGTAGAAACTGGGGTGGACTGCAAAAGAAGAGATGTATTTCGTAGTCAGTGCGCAGATCGCACAAGGTAGGTGCACGGGACAAGTAGCTCTACACCTCAAAAACATACTCGTAGGGATTGAAATTGGCTGTATTAAACCCCTTGTTGCATAGACAAATAGATAATGAGACGCATGCATCCACTCGCTCTCAGAACTGCAGAATCGCGGCGCAGTCAAGCCTCCATCTCACCTCGTTTCCAAGTATAGAGCACGAAAGCCTCGGCTTCCATAGAAGCCATCCATCTCGTTGCGGACATAGGCTTTCCAGCTTTTCCAGTTTTTAGATTTCGCTCGCTGACACTGCCCATCACTTCCCTCTGCTCCACTGTCCTCTGATAAAGAAAGTTCTTCGGAGGATCACGCTGGTAAACGAAGTCGACAGCAAATGTATTAAGCTTGTAGGGAAGATTGGCAGTCTCAGCATGGGTTTGTCGACACACGAAGAGGAGGTTGAGCGGTTGTCGCACGTAGTCTGGCCGACAATCCTCATGAAACTTGAACTTCAAGTGCGGTTCGGACCAGAAGATCTCAATGGTGGGCTGTGTAAGGGCCAGTGCGAAGATCTGATTGCGGAGCTCCGCGGGGAGACTCAGAAGCGGTGATTTGGCGTTTCGCCGGGTGCTGAAAGGACGTGTCAGTGTAAGTCATTTAATTTAGAGATCGCAGGCAGCTCACATTTGCTCGCGCTCGCTCTCTGACTGCTGATCTAACGCCGACATATCGTTTTCCACGTCCTTGCTGATGGCCGTGAAGTTGGTTGAAGGAGACGTGATCTTGAGAGTTGTAGAAGAGAATGAGCATGGGAGTAAAAGAAGTATAAATAAGGGTCTAGTCATCGCGCTACTGAAGGTGATTACGAAGCTAGTCCCACTTCGGTTGTACCCGCGAGAAGGCGCGACGACTGCACCTTGTCAACCGCCACCCTGTGGCAACAGAAATATGTTCGTGTCCTCACATTCCATACTCTCAAGGACGCACGATCTCGGCCGTGGCAACCAGCGCTCCATCCATACTTTTGCAGACCCCATGTATACCGTATGTTTGCCTCCAAACTCGTCAACGGACCATACTTTTTCCATGACCTCCCTCTGGATTGCGGTCAATCTCTCGACGAAGTGCATTGGATCATGCCAATAGTACCGCTCATACCCTTCTCTTATCCTCTCCCAGGGCCTGTTCAATTCGATCACCCATGTATTGACTTTGTACGGAAGCAGTGCGGTCTCGGCGTGGATTTGGCGACACACGAACAGGAGGTTGACAGGCCGCTTGAGGTGGTTGAGACGCTTGGAATTGCGGACTGGGCGCTTTTTCAGCTTGAAGGAACAAGACCTCGCCGAGAAGCTGATGGGGTTGTAGAACATGTTGCAGAATTGCTTGTAGTGGTAGCGATATTCGAAGCCTCGGCGTTCAGCTCGTTTAATCTTCCAACGATGAGAGCGCTCTGGAAAAATTATTGGGATGTAACCGTGATTGAGGGCGAGAGAGAAGATATGGTTGCGGAGTTCGGGGGGAAGACGGAGGAGTGGGGATGAGGTGGCGTTGCGCTCGGTGCTAGCGAGACCTGTTAGCTGACAGTGTTGAATTATAGAAGGCTTTGACGAACATATCGTGTCGACGTTCATTTGGGCGGTTCGTCGTCCCACACTTGGTGCGCTGCGTTTTCGAGGTCGACATACTGGAGTCGGACTCTGATTTGGCGAGCTGAAGGGCGAATATTTGAGATCAGGGGAGGAGTATGAGGCAATGGAAGTAAAACCAGAATAGAGTACATACTGTTTGGGTCAGTGCGCTAGGTACGAAGTGACAAGAAGTGAAGGAACTTGAGTAGCATTACTCGACACGAATAAAAGGACCGCTCATTGACATGCAAGCTCGCCATTGTTTGAAAATACCCAGAGCCTCTGCTGTGTCCTAGATGACTCTTAAGACTTGGGAAGCCTCGTAGCTGGGAGGACAGAATTAAAAATCTCCAATTCAGCCATCGCGTCACTCTAACCCAGCCTGACACATGGCCATCCATTCAGCCGCCGAGAACACCAGCTTCCTACCGCTATTATACGGGTATTCGCGTGGCACTGCTAGCATAGCCGCCCTTTGCGCAGGCGTTCGGCACTTCAGAAACTTGTACAAGGAGATTGTGTGGATCTTTATACATGAAAATGTGTTCAGTGAGTACGGGAGAAGGGCAGTCTCCACATACGTCTGCCGACAAACGTAGAGAAGGTTGACCGAGTTTTTGTTCTTGAGCCAGGCGCCGTAGTTCCACTTGATATCTCCCTGAGTGAGGGCAAGGGCGAAGATGTGGTTGCGGAGTTCGGCGGGGAGGCGAAGGAGAGGGGAGTCTGCGTTGCGCTTGGAACTGTCGTCTTCTGTCAGTCGCCGTTAATTAGTCTTCTTTGCGGCAAACTAACATTTCGTCCCGGGCGGCGGCTGAGTGAGACGCGATCGCAAGCTCGGTACTGCGGTCGGGAGTGATTTCGACGCTGTCGTTGTGTGTCAGTCCTCATTCCCTCTTGACCGCGGCAATTGACTTACAAATTGTTGACAATCGGGTTGGTGCCAGGCGCGAGATCAGATTTGGCGCCCTCGGAGTGCTTCTTCGGACTCGACATGCTGTAATCGAGGCTGAAATCTTGGTCACTGGGGCGGATGCGTATGTTGGAGACAAAACGAGAGAGTGATGGAACAGGGTAGAAACTGTAGATATCTACACTACGTCAGTGCGTCAAGCATGACGCCAGTGAGAAGGCAACAACGACTCCTTCACTTCCATGAGAGACTTCCGAGCACCGCAACTTCCCCCCAGAAAACCCCCCGCTAAGATCCAGGTTTCCAGTCAAGCCAATAGACGGAGGACGGATCCCCTCGCGTACTCAAACATGATACCCATTCAGTCGCAGACATACGCCTATAGAAGAGCCATCTGCGTTCCCAACGCGTCTTGACATACTTCCATCTCCTAATCACATCCTGCATGAGCTCTATCTGAGTAGCCGTCCGTCGCTTGAGGAACGCGACTAAGCTGACGGGATTGTCTCGGCAGATATCGAAGCTGTTTAGCTTGTACGGCAGGAATGCCGTTTCGGAATAGATCTGACGACAAACGTAGAGAAGGCTGAGTAGATTCTTGTCACGCGACTTGACCACGTAACCAGATGAGTCTGGGGGATCGAGGACGAATCTCTCGTGGTAGAGGGCGTAGGCGAAGATCGAGTTTCGTAGCTCGGGGAGCAGGCGGAGGAGGGGCGAGGCGGCTGCATTGCGCTCGGAGCTTGAGGCTGTGTGTTAATTCTGCCAATCGTGTCCTGCAATGCAACTTACATGTGCGTTCGCGTCAGCGGCCTTTGACATAAAGGATTCATGCTTTTCTCTAACCACTCCTTCCGTTGTGCGCGAGTCGCCATTTCGGTAGAATTCGCTTGGGTGCAGCGTTAGTTAACACAGATTGAGAGTTCAAATGCAGGTAATAAGGGTGAGTGATTAGCGTGATTATACCCGTAACGTACATCACGCCAGGCAGCGAGTGGAGACTCCTCAACAGGGCTCTTTCGAGCCAAGCAGAAAATTACCCTTGAGATCTACATTGCTCTAGCAATGTGCTGAGATGTTCTGATTCCGTAGTGAGGAGGTCATCGATGTCCAAGTTGTGAGTGGCTGGAGTTCCGAAAGTAAGGTGTGAAGGTATACAGTCACTCCTGGAATTCCCTACATCCATAGAGAGCACATCGAAGGTATCCAGGCTCACGCATTGTAGCTTGACCGTGACTGTTTCCAATTGTCGAACTAGCGCAACCTCACCATGCCCACCAAACCGGATCAATCTCATGATTAGCAATCATCTCCACCCACGCCGTCGCCGCCCGCGGTTCTTCGTCACGGTAAAACTGCACCTTGTCCATAACATACCTCTGAGCGTCAGACCGCCTATTCAAGAAAGTTTTGAGATTGAATATGGGGTCGTGGCCCCCAACAACAAATGTGTTGAGCCTGTATGGAAGGAGAGCGGTTTCCGCATAGATCTGTCGGCAGGTGAACAGTAGGCCGAATCGCTCCCGTATTGGGTAGTTTTTCAACTTGGGCTCCAGCCAGGTCTTGCCGATTTTGGGACGGATTGTCCCGTGATCGAGTACGAGCGCGAAGATCATGTTTCTTAGCTCAGGAGGGAGGCGAAGGAGCGGCGAGTCGATGACGTCGCAGTGAGCGTTTTGAATATCGGGCTGTTCACTAATTATCCGTGTCAATGGGGGTAGTTTGAGTGCTGTGTATGGCTTCACCAACATTTTGGGGCTGGATTTCCGCGGCCGGCGAATCACTCCGCGTGGAAGCTTTGACTTCTTGCTCCGAGGTAGCGTCTCTGACTTGGTCATGCTGACTGTATTGGCGATTTTGGACGAGACACGAACTTGCTCGCTGATGGTCGGAGGTAGCGCTTGGCGGGGTAGAGCGGAAGGTAAGTGACCTAGGTCAGTGCGCAACACGTGAGGGCCTTCAAATAAGAGGGATCACAATCATCAGAGACTAGGAGTGCTTGGAAAGCTCTTTCGGCAGGGTTATATAGCTATGTCAAGCCGTCAATCCGACCTTAGGCTTTCGTTAACCGATGGATCTCTTCAAAGTAGAACTTCAGGTCGTCCGGCTTAACGAACGGTGTGATACCTGCGAGCTGTTAGCACGATGCGGCACGTCATGTGACCCATGGCTTGACGTACCGTGTCCAAGGTTGGCGATCCATCCCTGCTTGCCGCCACCAAATCCAGCAACCATCTCTTCTACTACCTTCGTGATGGACTCCTTTGTACCGTACAAAACACCCGGGTCGGCATTACCCTGCAGAACCTTACCCTTTGCCTGCGCAATCTTGTATGCCTCCGCCGGCGCATGCAGCCAATCGAGGCCGATGGTGTTGTACTTGGTGTCGCAAAGATCCGACAAGGCGTACCATGCGCCTTTCGCGAAGACGGTCATGGGAACGGGCTCGAGGCCCTTTGACTGGAGGCGCGCGGGCAGGTTGTCGGCGATGTAGTTGAGATAAGGTAGAGCAAAGGTCTTGAAGGAGGTTGGCGATAGCTCTCCCGCCCAGGAATCGAAGACTTGGATCATCTGCGACAGTCAGCATCGGACCGATGTGTTTTAGCAATGCCACGTACCTGTGCACCAGCCTGAACTTGAAGAGCCACATACTCCACGCAAAGCTCGGCAATCTTCTGTAGCAGCGCCTTGCTCTCCTCGGGGTACTTGTAGATCCATGTCTTGGTCTGGATGAACATCTTGCTGCCACCGCCTTCGACCATGTAGCACAGCAATGTCCAGGGCGCGCCACAGAAGCCAATCAGCGGCACTCTTCCTGCCAGCTTTTGCCTAGTCATGGTGATGGCCTTGTAGACATAGTCCAACGATTCGGCAACATCCACCTTCCTCTCAAGAACCTCCTTGTACTGCTTGTCCTCTGGCGTTTGCAGCGGCTCGGGGAAATGGGGGCCCTTCTTATCCACCATTATGACCTCCATTCCCATCGCTTGCGGAATAACGAGGATGTCGGAGAAGATAATGGCGGCATCGATGAGGCCTTCATAGCGCTCAATGGGCTGGAGGGTGAGGGTGGATGCGATTTCGGGGCTGCGGCAGCATTCGAAGAAGTCGTTCTTGCCTTTCGCCTCGTGGTATTCCGGCAGGTAACGTCCGGCTATACAACGTCAGCATTGATGAGGGTTCTTGACGATGTATGCTTACCTTGGCGCATCACCCATATCGGTGGGCGCTCAACCTTTTCGCCTGTGGAGTGTCAATATACTGTACGTTGCTGACCGATCAAGGCTATTGACCTCGTGCTGTGCGCAGAATGAGGTCATTCTTCATAGGCTCGAATTGGGGTGCCATTGTTGGTGTGGATGGTGTAAATGTCGGACGTCAATGACATCGGCGTCGTAACTTTGTTCAAGCTCCGGATACCCCGCGCGTGCAGATTGGGCGCTAACCACATCGAGACGCGTTCCTGCATCTCTACCACCGCGCTATCTCCACATCTCTCCGACGCCAATTTCATCCGAGGATGCTCTCCAGACATGTCCGATGTTTGACGCGTCATGACCTGGCGTGCCGAAGGGCTTCACATCAGCTCAGCCGAAGGGTTTGTAGTGCCGCTTCTGTCCGCCCACTCTCAAGCTTGACGCGTCCGATCGCGAAACCACGTGCAACACCGCTCGTTGGCCAAGCATGCTTTCCGGTGTCGCAATGTCGTGGTGCAAAGAGGAAATCTGTCGCGACCCTTGACGACCTCCAACAAGGACCTCTGGAGGCCGAGGCACTGCCACCCCAAGACGATGCCGAACCGGAATACCCTCCGCTGTTGCAGCAAGTGCGCAACAACATGCTCAAGTTCAGTCACTGCGTGCTAGTCACACGTGTCGGTGGCTTCTATGAGGCAAGCATGCAGGTTGTGCGACATGTCTCGAGCTAATGCAGGCTGCAGCTATACTTCGAGCATGCGGACGAATGTGCGCCCTTGCTGAACATCAAAAAGTCCAAGAGGAAGGTTTCAAGAGGTAGCAAGAAGCCCGCCGTTTCTATGGTCAGTAGTTCAATTCGGCGACCTATCATGAAACTGACACCGTCAGGCAGGCTTCCCCGCATACCAACTGGACCGGTACCTGAAGATTCTCGTCCAAGACCTCAACAAACATGTCGCTATTAGTGACGAGTATCTCAATGATGCTCCGACAAAGGCAAAGGGAGAGCCACAGTATACAAGGAGAGTATCGCGTATCGTGACACCAGGTACACTGATCGATGAGCATTTCATGGACCCATGGGAGAACAACTATCTCCTCAGCATCTATGTCAATCCCGAAGTGCTCACGCAGGAAAAGGCTGTGAAGGAGAGTCCTGGCAGTTCGAGTGTCTCCTCTGTTCTCAACTTACCCCGTACGGAGGTCGGCCTGGCCTGGATTGATCTGTCAAGTGGCGACTTTCTTACTCAGAGCACGGATATCGCATCCTTGCCGTCCGCGGTAGCCCGTATCAAACCCCGAGAAATTGTACTAGACAGCATCTTTCAAGAGCAGGATCACTCACGTATCGCTTCGATCATGCAAGAAGACGGACATGTCATCACGTTCCAGGAACCCTCAGAAAAACCGCCCACCATCGACGACTGGATACCGATGTTGGAAGACGTCGTGGAAGACTTCAACACAGCCAACTTCACGCCCGGTGAGGTAGCAGCGGGAGGCTCGTTGTTACATTACGTCAAGCATCAACTTCTTGGTTCACGGACACGACTGCGCGCGCCAGTACGACATCAAGCCGAGGAGTACATGAGTATCGACAAGAACAGCTTGAGAGCGCTAGAGATCCGAACCACAATTCGCGAGGGTACTTACGAAGGAAGCTTGGTACATGCACTCAAGAAGACGGTCACCAAAAGCGGTACTAGACTCCTTACTGAGCGGTTATGTAAGTAGAAGCACGCCAGTAACACCGATCCATCGCTAACATATCCAAGCGGCGCCGTCGATGTCGTTATCAACGGTCAATGATCGACTTGACCTCGTAGAGGAGACCATGCAGTACCCGCAACTCCGTCAGGACATCATCTTACTCTTGGAGCAAACTTTCGACTCTTTACGATTGGTCACCAAGTTCACATATGGGCGCGGCGACGCGGATGACCTTATGGAGCTGTCGAAGACCATCCTTGTCACCTCCAGCATAGTGGACGTCCTTCACGAGCACGCAACTTCGAGGAACTCTGTTCCAGTCGACACAGCTCCAGCCACCTCGGATACCCGAAGACGACAGTGCATTTCGATGTTAGAGCGTCGATTTGATCTAGCGCAACCGCTTGAACTCGCAAACCGCATACAGCATGCGATCGACGAAGACGGTCTCTCCGAGTACCACCGCATGGAGAACGAAGAGGCGGAAGAAATGTCCGATTTGGCCCAGGACGTGATCGGTCGCGAGGCTGGAGAAGAAGATCTGAAGAGCTTACCGAAGCGCGTTCAGCCGAAACTTACCATGATCACTGGGAGCTTCAAGAGTGCGACCGATGGACGGGAAGATGTTCATATCATGAAGCGCAATGCCAGTACGACACTTGAACGCCTTCACAAGAGCTTGGACAAGATGACAGAAGCAAAGGCAAGCCTGGAACAAGAGATGCGTCAAAAGATGGGTACAGAAAGCTTGGTGTTGAAGTGGACTCCGAACCTCGCGCACATTGCTCACGTTAAGGGCAAGGACGCAGCTCGCGCTACTACCTTTTATCCAAGAAGCTTGAGTAGCAGCAAGTCTACCCGCTCGTTTCAGATCCCGGAGTGGACTTCACTGGGCGCGCAAATGGACGAGACACGATTCCGGATCCGATCAGAAGAACAACGTGTTCTCGGTGAGCTGCGCGAAGGTGTCGTCCAGAACCTTGTGAAACTTAGACGTAACGCCGCTGTGCTCGATGAGCTTGATGTCGCATGCGCCTTTGCTACACTCGCGATGGAGAAAGATCTCATCAGACCCATACTAAGTGCAGAGCCATCGCATAACATCGTCGGTGGTCGGCATCCTGTCGTCGAAGCTGGCCTCAGCGAACAAGGCCGCAGGTTCGCCCCCAACGACTGCCAACTCGGCGACAATGAGCGCATCTGGCTCATCACCGGTCCAAACATGGCTGGCAAAAGTACATATCTCCGCCAGAATGCGCTCATTTCCATCTTAGGGCAGACCGGATCTTTCGTCCCAGCGGAATACGCAGAGATCGGGCTAGTCGACAAGATCTTCAGTCGCGTCGGCTCAGCAGACAACTTGTACCAAGATCAATCCACATTCATGGTCGAAATGCTGGAAACAGCCCAGATCCTCAAAGAGGCTACGCCTCGCTCGTTTGTCATCATGGATGAGGTTGGGCGGGGCACCACACCCGAGGATGGGATCGCGGTTGGGTACGCATGCCTCCACCACCTCTACCACGTCAATCAATGTCGAACGCTTTTCGCAACCCACTTCCACGCGCTCACGGACATGACAAAGGACTTTGCGAAGTTGGGCTGCTACTGCAACGATGTCCTTGAAGAGCCAGACGGCAAGTTCTCATACGTGCATCGGTTGAGGAAGGGTGTCAATCGTGAGAGCCATGCGTTGAAGGTCGCGAGAGTTGCTGGTAAGTCGTGCGCTTCAGAAGTACAGTTTTGGAGATGGTAGCTAACGAATACAGGTCTTCCTGAAGATGCCGTTGCGATCGCAGCGAGGGTACTAAAAGAACTCAAGGGACTGACGAGCGATGCTGGGG